GAGAGAGAGAGAGAGAGAGAATCTTAATCAGGCTCCATGCTCAGCACAGAGCCCAATGTGGGACTCATTCCTATCATGCTGGGATCATGACCTGAGCTGAAATGAAGAGTCAGATGGTTAACTAACTGAGCCACCTGGGCACCCTGAATTTAGCTTTTAAATGGATTTGTTATTGTCTCTCCCATTGTCAGAGGTGGAATCTTGTCCACTGACATGTTTCTAGTGCTGGCATGTGGGAGAAGCTTAATAATATAAATGAAAGAATGATTTGTAGATTAAGTTGTTTTTCTGGGTTCTTCTCTGGAGGAATGAGATGAATGAGGTCCTTATGCTGTGACTATTAGAATATTCTTCCCAAACATACAAACTATAAAAACAGTGATGAAATAAAAAGAATGATAAGGGAATACTAGAAACAACTCTATGTCAGCAAATCAGGTAACTTGGGGGCATTCGCACAAATTCCTACTGAGGCACAGATTACTGAAACTGACTCAAGAAGAAATAGAAAATCTGAGTAGACCTATAACAAGGAATTGATTTGGTAATGTAAAAACTTCCCACAAAAGAAAGCCCAGACTCAGATGACTTCACTGGTGAATTCAACCAAAGGTTTAAGGAATAGCAATTCTTCACTAACTCTTCCAGAAAATACAAAAGGAGGGAATACTTTCCATCTTGTTCTAGGAGGCCAGTGTTACCCAGATACCCAAACCAGACAAAGATATCACAAGAAAAGAAAATGACTAATATCCATTATACATATAGATGCAAAAATTCTCAAGAAAATACTATCAAATGTATTTTAGCAGTGGCATATAGAAAGGAGTGCACAGCCAAAGTTGTCATACTCTGGGTAATTGTGAAATGTGACCATCCCACCACCAACCCTGACCCCTTACAAATAATTCAGTAGGAAACACTTATACTAACTCAAAGAGAAGTGTAGAGTCAAAAGCCTAGGTCTATGTCCAATTTTTACAGCCACCTTAAAAGGAAGAAGACAGAAGAAAAATAAAGGCATAAAAAAGGATACCTGGTGGTCCTAAAAATCCTGGATTTCCTGGATATCCTTTTTGACCAGGTGGTCCCACCTCACCTCGATGACCTGGCTTCCCTGGTGGTCCGGGTTCTCCAGGAAAGCCTGACCTATCCAAGCCTGGAATACCTGGGTCTCCCTTTGGCCCCGTTTCACCTCTTCTGCCTAGGTATGAATGAATGAATGAATGAATGAACAAATGAACGCACAACTGCTTTCCCTACCAACTCCAGAAATATTTTTTATGACTATAAATATTTAGCTGTGTGATTATGGGCAAACCACACACTCATCTGATTGATTGGCTGATTTCATCCCCTTCTGTAAAATTTCTAAGATCACTTCTACCTTTAACATTCTGTTTCAGTGATTCATGCAGTAATAAAAGTGTAGAGTTTAGATCTATTTTCTAGTCCTGCAGACATATCCTGGGACTGCACTTTATGACTGTAGCTCAGTCTTTAACCTGCAGAATAATACGTACAGAGCCACCCACGTGGAGGCGAGCCACCAGATACTTCTGGAAACAACAGCAGCACTACGACAACCATTAATCTCTTAGCCCAACATTGGATTGTGAACATAAAAGCAGGATGATAGCTCATAGGCATTAGCTGAGCTCTAAACGATTTTTCTCAGTTCACAGATCTGACTGAGAAGAGCCAACAAAATAGAATAAGTTTCACACAATCTGGGCCATCTAGCCTGCATAATTTAGATTTATTTCATAAGCTTATTTTATGTTGCTTGGGAAGCAATTAACTACGTATCAAAATTTACCACTTTATATACTAATGAAGGTAATGATAAAACTTTTTTTCTGAGTTTATATGCACATAAATATACATGTAAATATACATATATGTGTATATATCCTCAATATGTATATATACTCAGTCATGTGTACAAGGCACAAACCAATTTTACTATACTAACCTGAGGTCTCTTATTCTATAGATGGTACTCACTGCAACAAATCCACGACAAGGTTTAGATGGCTAAAATAACATTCCCCGCTGAACAGTGGTCAGCACTTGTTGCTGGACAGTTTCCATGTTAAGCAGCAAAGTGCAGAGCCGGAGTCTCAAGTCACCTATCTGCCTAATGACTAGCTTCAAGGCCCTCCTCTTACCTTGTTGACCTTCCAATCCATTTAATCCTGGAAGTCCTTGGGCTCCCCTGGGACCCTCCATGCACCTTCCTGGGGGTCCTTTTTCTCCAGGTGGTCCAGCCTTCCCTGGATCCCCTATAAAACAGAGTCCCAGAATATATTCAGATGCCAAAATCCAAGGTCCTAGTACAATCATTCTCTTGTAACTTTTCCCCCCAAATTGAACCTATATTTAATACCGTGGATATGCCTTTTTTACAGAGGAAACTCACTATAAAGGACAGAAGGAAGGAAGGAGGAAGGAAAGAAAAAAATAAAGGTAGGGCAGTGATGTTGAATGGAAAAATAATTAGGACCCGCAGATTCTATCTGTTGAACTAGAAGTTTGAGAAGAACTCTTCATCCTAGTGCACTTTCAATTTGCTGCCTTTTAACAGAGATCGCAGCGGAGAAAAATAATCACACGCGCCACTGTACCTTGTGGTCCATCAAGCCCTCTGGTTCCTGGAATTCCAGGGAGACCTGGATGTCCAGGGAGTCCAATTTCTCCATTTTTCCCAGAATTGCCTCTTTCTCCCGGAAAACCTGGCGTTCCTGGTTCTCCAGGCAAGGCTAGTCCCGGCTCTCCCTGTTCCACAGAAGTCGTGTTAGTTTTACTATATAATGCTTCCAAATCCTTCTTGACTACCAAGTGGTCTTTAGGGCTATTACATGGAAAATAATCTGTTCTGGGGCACCTGGCTGGCTCAGTCAGTTGAGCGTCCAACTTCAGCTCAGGTTATGATCTCACGGTTCGTGAGTTCGAGCCTCACATTGGGCTGTCCGTGCAGAGCCTCCTTTGGATTCTCTGTCCCCCCTCTCTCTCTGCCCCCCCCCAATTCATGTTCATGCACGCTCTCTTTCTCAAAATAAATAAATAAACATTAAAAAAAGAAAAAAAAATCCATTCTGCACAGTCACCACCATGCTGTCAACTTTCCTATTTCAACTCTAGTTGCTGAGTTTTCTATTCAATTATGCTTAAGTATTCTTGAGGCTATATAACTCTTTTAGAAGGGTGAAATTGTCTGGAAACAGTCTAGATGTCTCTCCTTTTGATCGCTTTTCTCCTAGTTATCCACACTTCCTCTTAGAGTCCTTCCATTTTAAATACTCTGAATGCTTCTGAAGATTAAGGAAGAAATAGAGAGGCAAACTTATCTTCTAATCCCTTCTATTTTCCTTTCTAAAAGGGAGGGATGGTTCAGAAGAACATTAAAAAGTATTTAATTCCTTTACCATCTACAAATATATAGATAATTTCTACACCCAGAGCATCCTACCTGGCTGATTGTAATTGCCCACCTCCCTCATCATGCCCCCTTGCCCCCCACCACCATCAGTCTGAGTTTTAATTCTTGAAGAACCTTGGCTCCGGGGAGACCTGGTTCTCCAGGTGACCCAGGCTTTCCCATTTCTCCTGGACAACCTGGTGATCCTTTTGCTCCTGGAAAACCTTGGTCTCCTACAGAGAAAAAATAATAAAGGTTGTAGGATTAGGCTTAGGAAAAGATTCTGAGCAGTGTCTCTGTTTTATCTGATTTTATCTGATGTTTTTATGGGGCAAGTTGCTAGAAATGTTTTTATGAAAGTTTGAATGATGAAAAAGTCAACTGCTGGGGGGCCCCGGGTGGCTCAGTCTGTTACTTGATTTTGGCTTGGGTCATGGTCTCACAGTTCATGAATTCAAGCCCTGCATCGGGCTTTGTGCTGACAGTGTGGAGCCTGCTTGGGATATTCTCTCTTTCTACCTTTCCTCTACCCTTCCCCCAGTCACACTGTCTCGAAATAAATAAATAAATAAACTTAAAAAAGAAAAAGAAAAAGAAAAAGAAAAAGTCAACTGCTAAATTAGCAGTTAAAAAAATTCTGTTTCAAATCAGATCCTCAATTTAAAAAATGACTTTCTCCATTTTGTTGTTTAGGATGGCTACAATTTTGATTTGGCAGTTCTTTAAACCACTGGTCCTGGTTGCCAATTTGGCAGACTTTATCTTTTCAAGTTGTATTTTACATAAAGCGTACAGCCAAATGAATTTTTGCAGGTGTAGAAATCCTTGAAGCATGACCCAGATCAAGATAGAAAGGCTTTTCAGTGCCCTGGGTAGCCTGCCTCAACATGGGTGGCTCAAGAGAATTACTTCCTAATGCCATGAATGTAATGAATTAACTTTTTTCTTATATATTTATAATAGGAGAACTGAGGAAGGAGTCACACAGATCATTTTCTCTGTTCTGTGGTTCAGAAGAGGAAACCCTGGTGGGGCAAGGCTGTGGTCAGAGCGTTCTTTTGTGCCCCTAATATGACCAATTTTTAATTTCCCATTAGTTCATGCATTATTAGGTTCAATTTTGAATTTTGAATCTGTACTTTAAAGGATTTTCTTAGGCTATTTCTTGTCCCCATGGTTGAGTCTCCTTCCAGAGGGTAAATCCATGGGGTTACAAGCTAGGATGCAATTTCTCAATGCAGGGTCCAAAAAGAACTAGGCAAATTATGGGCCAGGCTGCGTTACTTCAAAGATCATTGGGAAGACATCCAAGAAATTAGAGTCTAGGACATCCTTGAAACTATTACATCTTCCATTTCAAATATTCATAAACTGAGATCAATATTTCCACATTTGGGCAGAACTAATGCACTCCAGACACTGATGACATCTCAAAGAGAACAAGAACCAAAAATGGATTATATGTTGACACTTTAAATAATATTGAAACAAACATAAAGTGATTATAAAATCTGAAAATCTATGCTACAATCCAGGGACCATGAGAGCTCATATGCCATCCTGGGCAAAACTCTGATGTATTTATTAGGTGACTGTCTTCTCTGTATCTGGATTTCTTTGGAGTGTTTTCCCTTTGATGGGAAACAGCATTTGTTCCCAAAGGAAAATAATTTCTGTAATTTATATGGGAGTGTATAGGACAACCAGTTACTTGTGATTTAATAGTTATTTTTTTTAATTATAAAAGAAATGTATAAAGTGAAAACATGCATAAATGTAAAGAAAGTACAGACATTTATTAAGAAGTAAAGAAAAAAAATTCTCACAGTTCCACACTCAAGAAGAATCACTTTTACCATTTTTATAAATTGCTTTCCAGATGTTTTCTACATATTTTAAAATTTTTAGTTGAGATGAGATGTATAGTATGAATTCTGCCTCTTTGCCTAACATCATAGTAAGATTTTTTTTTCTCATTTAAGATGGATGAAAAACATTATTTTAAACACCACATTATGGATCTTTTCCATTTTATTCATGATATGTATTTATATTTTCTTTTTTTTTTAAGTTTATTTATTTTGAGAGAAAGAGGGAGCATGCAGGGGAGAGAGAGAGAGAGAGAGGGAAGGAGAGACAGAGAATCTCAAGCAGACTCTGCACCATCAGCACAGAGCCGGACACAGGGCTCAAACTCACAAACCGTGAGATCAATACCTGAACTGAAATCAAGAGTCGGAGGCTTAACTGACTGAGCAACCCAGGCACCCTTGCATTTATTTTCTAAACATCCACAATGATCCCTATGTTTTAAAATTTGTAAACCTACCCTTAGGTCCTGGGGGCCCAGGGAAGCCAATTCCTGGAATCCCTGGTTCACCATCAGGCCCAGGAAGACCCGGATAACGACATTTTCCTATGGATCCAGGGATACCTTAAAAACACACACACATCCACATAAGGTACGTCCCTTCATCTTGCCTTGAGACAAAAAGTCTAAGTTTCTGTGTCATCCTAGGCCTTTCTGGAAATTAAGAAATAATTTTAATATAACCCCAACTGTATGCTCTTCCTCTCCATTCTTATCCAGTGTAGCTCAGTTAGGAGCTACAGATAATGTTTAAGATAGAGCTTAATTCCTAAAAAGAAATATTCTAACTATCTTGGACTACATACGTCTCCCTCCATGCATACAAAATTAAGTTTTAGATCAAATTGGCAAAGCAGTTACATTTTCAAATGAAGAAGAAATGGGGACTATCGTGATTAGCCACTGGCAAACGTCACTTATTCCCCCACCAAAAACCCATGAAGACTGTTCTGCTCTTGGGTTCCTTTTAAGTAATTATATCAAGTCCTTTTTTTTTTTTTTTTAATCAGAAGTACCAGTGGGGAATAATTTGGCTAATCTCAAAGAACAACAAGTCCCCTGCCTATTGGCTTGTTATCTGACCAGACTCTGGCCTCTGCATTCTTTTAGAGCCAATAAATATATCTTTTCCTTACAAAGGGGACAATATTTTTCTAGGACAATCAGGATGCCATTTGATGTCGTGCACCAGACATGACAAAGGGGATACTCACCAGGCGGACCTTGGGGGCCAGCACGGCCAGGGAGCCCTGGAGGTCCTGGGGGCCCTGGGACTGGTGTCGAAACACTGAATTCTCCCTTAGGACCTTAAGAAAGTTTGTGATCATAAGACTGGTGTGCATTTTGAAGCTTTTTTTTTTTTTGGTTCAGGGGGAGCAAATGTAATTATAAGGGGCTTATAAACATATCCCAAGGAATATAAAAAATAGTTTCTGCTTCCATAGGCTTTAAAACTGGCTTAAAGATGACCAACCCACTGAAACTTTCTTATTCAATTGATGAATATTTATAAGCATTTACTATTGTCTAAGCTTCAATTATAGCCCAACTCAATGCCGGTCTATTGAAAGGGAAGCTATTCTAAAAAAAAAATCAATGATATGGAATTAAGTGTAAATGTTAGTGAATATTGATTTGGTAGGTTCTTTATTTATTGGGTGACTAGTTTTCACAGGAAGAAAGTATGGCATGCTGAACAAAAGATCAAGTGTGGCTTGGGCACATATCTTAACCTCTGTGGTAATTTCTTCATGTGTCATTGGGGAAATAATGCCTACCCAGTCCACAAAAATTCGAGATAATGTGGCTATGCTGGCCAACATTAAAAACATGTTAGTGATTTGAATTATCCGTATATTTATGGAAAAAATAAGTTTATAGTAGTTTGATGGGAAAAACTTCATGATAATGTATTTTACGACAATGGAGTCCTTCACTACAAATTCACATGTAAAGAACAGAAGATTTGAAGATGGATTAGAAGAGAGATCAGGAAAACTTTTTCTCTAAAGAGCCAGATAGTAAATAATCTGGGCTTTGTGGTCCAAATGGTCTCTATAACCATAACCCAACGCTGCCATTGCAGCATGAGAACAGCCAGGAACAATATGGATATGAATGAGGGTGGCTACGTGCTAGGAAAACGTTATTTATGGACACTGAAACTTGAATTTCATATAATTTTCATGTACCACAAAGTATTATTCAAAAGATTTTTTCCCTAATCATTTGAAAATATAAAAACCACTTTTAGCTTGTGGATCATACATAAATATGCGGTAGGCTGGTAGACTATGGGCTGTCATGGTTTGCCAATCCCTGGATTAGAATAGCAGCCTCAAAAGTAAGGTGCCGAAGAAACACACACACACACACACACACACACACACACATATATATATACACATATACATATGTATACATACATATATATGTGTGTATATATATACATATATATATATAGTCACAAAAAAAAGCTTTACGCACATGTGTGGACAGAAATGCATGCATACAATGTAAAAAATATACAGAAATGCTTGGGGAGAGGCACTTACATATTTTTTTTACAGATAAGGGATATTATAAAACAATTTGGAGGCCATTAGTTTATTGAGTCTCACCCTTCAAAGTGATATTAGAAGTAAGAAATGACATGGTGGCATTATTTGTTGAAAACTGTCAGCAATGTGCAATTCTTATCTTCCGTTATGTTCTCTGCCACGGATAAACATTGGGGATGGATCAGATCCCTCCTGAATCCACCAACTATGTTCAGTACACGTGGATCCCAAAAGTTACTGAGGCTTTGGGACTATTGTCAGAAAACTATTCTTCGTTTATCTTAGATATTTTGAAGTTTTATTTGTAAACCGTCTACTGGATTATGGGTCAAAAGAATAAATTTGCAACAACATTAGTGGACTCTTGAGACTCAGGAGGGGCTTCTCAGGATCAATTTCACAGATTTCTGCCCCCCCCCTTTGTTTATCATAACTGATTGCCACTGATTCCATCTATTTCTGTTTAGCATATGGAGATAGACTATCTTAGGAAATTTCAACTGAACTTCTCAGTAACAGAGAAAATACGTTTTCTCTGACATATCCTACATATTCTTTCTGAGTGTCTATGAGTTGACATATTCTACTTATTGGAAGTAAGTTTCTATACATCATTTTAGTCTTGAGGGAGCTTTACTTGCTCTAGGAACCATAGACCCACTCCATAGGAAAACAGGACTGGAAAGAAAACTAACCAACCGGCTTCTCCAGGTGGTCCGGGGGCTCCAGGAATTCCTCGGGTACCCTTTGGACCAGGCTCTCCCTGCGGTCCATAGTCTGGTGGTCCAGGTGGTCCTGCAGGTCCCGGGGGCCCAGGGGTGCCGGGATCCCCTGGAGGACCCTGGTCCCCCTTCTCACCAGTCAGGGCCTGTGACAACAGGAATATGTTTGGATGGTGCTTCATTCCAGTATCTCCTTCCACGGGTTAATCTTACCATGAATACGAGTACCAGATAAGCAGCCAATGAGAAAATTTTGAATCAAAAAGCAGGTATTTGAAGGGAATTGTTACTAAAATGAGACCGCTCTATGGTTTCTGCTGTTCTGTGCTCTTTGGATTTCAGCAACATTTCATTCACTCGAAGCCTCTCGAGACGCACTTGTGTCTTCTGGTGGGATGTCATACGTAGAACAGCCCCTAAGACTCTGTTCAAATCAGCCAACAGTTCAAATAGCTGTAGAGCTAACATTCATGTGAGTAGCGTATTTCTCAACTAAAACCAGCACAGCAAACTTTTATTTGTTTGTTTTTTACCGGGTGTTTTCATTACAAAGGAGATTCAGGTCCAGATAGACCGTATTCATTTTTTTCCTTATGAAATATCTTTTGCTAGATTATGTCTTAAGATTTAATGGTAATGGTGAAAGCTATATAAGAGGTATGTTTTATACCAACTGTAAAAATACTGACTTTCCATGATTATATAGCTTAAATTGAATAAAATAATAAAATTGTAAAAAAATATCTTTTTGTAATTGCATAGGGCCATAACTCTGGAGATGATTTGCGTATTTTAAACAAGTTAAATATGACAAAATAATTGAGTTCTTCTTCCATCCCAATATGGCCTCAAATAATAGATTTGACTGGATTTTTCATTGTTCAGGATCATTGGGTGACTCGGTGTTTTTATGTTTTTTTTTGTTTGTCCGTTTTTCCTTCTTCCATAATGACAGGGCATAAGACTCAACACATTATCTCCTTGAGGTTTTTCTTACATTACTTTTACTGGAACTTAATAAAGAATTAGCAAGACGCAAATGGAAGCATCATGTAAACTGTACTAGTGCTAAACCAAAAGAATTCTAGACTCTGTCCCTCTGTAAGCATCACTACCACCCAGGGTGGGGGGACAGCCTGGCTGTTTCCCAGAGTCTGAGAAGCACTGGCCCTGCCAGCTGCTCTCAGCCCAAAAGTATTTTGTAGTCAAAAAGGTATAACGAAGATTATAGGCCACATCTAGATCTTGGGGAGCCACACTTTATTCTGATATTAATGGGTCTGTAAACAAATGTTTAAATTTATTTGCCAAGTTTTCCTGTCTGAGGTGGGACTCTTTTAATTGGATAACACCGATGAACTCTGGGAGACACTGGTATATACCGGGGGAGGTGCTCAGCCTCTGCCCCCTGACATCTTCAAATAGATCCCCGTAGGAATCTCTCAAGTGCACATGTGAGACATTCTATCCCTATCCCATGAAAAGAGAGAACTTACCTAAGCTTAACTATTTTAAAGGACAAAACATCTGATCTGTTTATTTGACTAACCTCCTCCTAAAATTGTGCTTTATGCATTTATTTTTACTTCAAAGAATGAATATTGCCTTCAAGATATTGATCAAAACGTTCCCTTGTTTATCATTTTCTAAACTAGTCTATAAACTCATTGGACATAAATGTGGAATTGTAACTCGCGTAGGAGACAAGGTCATTATCGACGTAGAATTTTGTTTGGGCTAAAAGCACCATTGAGTGCTACCTATGTGTCAAAATACTACACACATGTGTTGGGGTTAGTACTGCTCATTTGAAGATGCCTCATTGTGCGGTTAGAGGGACGCACTGTGCTGAATGGCCAAGGATTTTATGAATGGAAAGTACCCAATGTGGTAACTTCAGAGCGTATCAGTTGTAGGGAGGGTAATTCGAAAAAAGTTGCTAGATACCAACCGGTTCCCCTTTAGGTCCTGGTGATCCTTTTACCCCGGGGGTTCCAGGAATCCCATCCAAGCCTCTTCTTCCAGGATGCCCTCTGAGCCCAGGGTCCCCTGGGGCACCCACTTGTCCATCAGGTTGAGGTGCTTCCCCTTTTTCTCCTTTAAGTCCTGGATCCCCCTGAGCACCCGGGAACCCCTAGGGCGGTACAGAAACGAGTCTGCATTGCAATTGGGTACAGCTGTTCTTGTGCCAATCTTAAAAAAAAAGTCAACCAGAATTTTTCAAGTGTAATGCACATGGATATTTTTCAGACACTTTCTTTAGCCTACAAGTATAATTTCAAGCTCTTTTCCCCTCTCTATTTGCTTTCAAAACTGGAATTCAGTTAGCACAATTCAATGCAACACACACAATAATATGGGTCAATATGACACAGATATCATCGTAACTTAGATTCCGTTAGAATATTGGAAATTTTAACATGCATCTATGGATAATTTGATTGAAATATATATATCTCTGTATAACTCTCTGACTCACCGTGATAGTCAAAACTTTAATTTCTAATAGTTTATCGAGGTATAATTTACATATCATAAGATATATCTTTATACGGATACAGTTCAATGGTTTTTAGTACATTTGTACATTTATGCTACGATCGCCATAATACAGTGTTAAAACATTTCCGGTATTCCCTCGGATTCCTTCAGATCCATTTGTAGTCATGCCCTGTCCCAACCGCAGCCCAGGCAACCAGAGATCTGCTTCTAGTTCTGATCCATTTTAAATGATTCAAAGTTCATTAATTCATTCACTTATTCACACATCATGCATTTATTCATTTAACCAGGTCTCTATCAAATGCTCTAATATTAAGTACTCTTTGCCAGGCACCAAACTGATAACCTATGTGTGGTGCTACTGTACTTCCAGAACGTGCCGTTACCCAAATCGAAACGAAAGCTCCCAAACCATGAAATCTTACTGGATATCCGGGAAGACCCGCACTTCCTGGGGACCCTGGGCTTCCTTTACTGCCAGTTGGCCCTTGTCCGCCTGCAAAGCAGTGAATTATTAAATATTTGTTGAATACCAACTCTGAGTAGCCCAGGTAATGCAGGAGCTGCAGGAAATAGGCTGCTTTCTTCTGAGGAAAGAAAGACAATTTCTATCTCAAAACACAGAGGGCAGGGAGGGGATGAGAGTAAATAACTGGAATAAGAGATGATGTAAAAAAAAAAAAAGCATTTAAAAAATGCTTGCCTCCCTAAAATTCTTGTCTTTATAGTTTTAAGGAGACAGGTTTATTTTTTGATCAAAAAAGCAATATGTGCTCCTTGTGAAAAACAGATTCAGAAAGAAGAGAATAAAAATCACTTATAGATCTACCACCAGAGGACAATATTTGCTAAAATTTTGATGTATGGCACTCTTAAATTTTATATCCATAACGTGCTGAATGTATACATGGCATTTTGGAATCTATACATATGTCAATAAACACAGATTTATAGCTTCGCTTTAAATGGCCGCAGAGTAGCCTAATGTGTGGATCAACCAACATTTATTCAGCCAGCTGCTATTTTAGAATTTGGATCATTTTTCAACTTTTCAACATTGTAGTAAACAATGTTATAGTAAATATCTCTAGATAGTTAGTGCTCCAGATTTTTCTAATAACTTAAATACATTTCTAAAAGCGTAAGCACAAGACAAAATGGACACAAACTTTTCTGAGGCTCTGGGAATCCGTTGCCAAGTTGCTATACAATTTTACGCTTCCTATATGCATGTAAGTGTATCCGTAAGGATATACTGTAAAGACCCTTTAGAGGGTCTTTTGGGCGGATCTCAAGCCAATGTATTAATAAATGGATATTCCGATTTTATGTTTTGCAAGATTCGAGTCAGGGTATGTTTTTTGATAGTAATCCAGATGCTTTCACTGTTTATGTATCTTCTTTGAGCTGCACCTGTAGTATGTCAAGTGTAGAGAAATCAAGGAAAATACAACACAACTACTGGGTCAGCAACAGCGAGCTGCCCACCCACATTCTACCCTTGGGTCACTCACGGGGAATGTAGAAAAATAATCATTGCTTTCCTTCCATTCTTTCCCTCCCTGTCGCCCTTGCTCCTTCCCTTTCTGTCAGTTTTTGTTTTAATAGAACATTTCACCTAGAGTCTTAGGCACCGAATAGGAACAGCATGAGGGACGGAGGGCCCGTTATACCCACCCTTCACCCCCTCTTTGCCTCCCCCGCTTCTCCCCTCTCAAGCCTGTCTCAGAGAGTCAGGGGGCAGAGATGGCAAAGTAACGAAGGCATTTACAAAGGAACAGGAATGATGTGAGCGTGGCAAAGGACCCTGGCTGAATGCGTGTCCTCTCTCAGCTGGCCACAGTGCCTGCATCTGCCACCATTAGCATTTCTTCTTTGGACGGTGACCCCACTTCCCGAAGCCCCTGTGCCAATGCAAATGTCTACCCGATGGTGGTAACATACAAATATTCCCTGATCGGTGTTGCCAGATAGACCTTTGGATTCACTTGCTTCAAAGGGAAGCCCCTGGCACAGCGATTGAAGGATGCCAGCGTAGAGAGCAGGAGCATGGCTCAGGAGGAGAGTGGATTTCAGTCCAGGCTTTACCACTTATGAGCTATGCCACCTTATGCCTCAGCTTCCTCATCTGTCAAATGGGGTCAATGACAGCACTTACCTGTAGGACTGAGGTGAGGAATAGGCATGGAGGTCCATACGACACCTAGCAGACCAAGGTGGTCATGGCAAAACCAGGACTGCACGTGAAACCGTGTGACAGAGGCCCTGAGGAGCCAGGGGAGAGGTACCAGCGGCAGAGGAACCCAACTAATGAGCAGAGACTTTCTCTACCTCGAGATTTTTGTCCATGGCCAGTTCTGTGACCGAGAAAGGGGAGGTGGGACAGCAGAGACAGTGGACAGTCTGAAGCAACCCTGTGGGGTGGGGAGTCCTGGTCTGGCACGGACGTCCAGAAGAGAAGCAACACAGGCTCTGTTTAGCTCGCGGAATATTGGCCTAGAGGATGGTTTTTTTCTTTCAAAAATGGAGTTAGCAAATTTTGAAAAAAAAAAAATGAGATTTCAGCTAAAAACCCGAGTTTCTTTCTTCTCATGAAAAATTGGAAGATTTATCAACACGGGCCTAAAGTGCTGCCAGTAACAACAGACCGGAGCTGGTGCACGATGGCCCCCTCCAATGTGCCTT